CATACATAGCCTACAAGTGTTATCTTCCCTCCAAAACTGGCATATTAAATTGATATTAAAACACTTTAAAACTTACACCTCAGGAGTTCTTACCTGTCGGGATCCTTCGGGAAACGGTGGAAGGCCAGGTGCGGGGTGTTCCACTGATAGTTGTTGCAGTTAATTGCACCACACTGTTTTCTTTTACTTTTTTTCTCCTCTCTCCTTGACATCTTGCATGTTGTCTGGGCGCAACACAGTCCAAGCTCAACAGTCCAAAATGGCAGCAGCGCTACCGCAGCGCCCCTACTGGCTGTTGGAAAAAATTCAACGGAGCTTCGCCTCTTGGTATCCATGCTCTGACACAAGTCTGCTCCAATGCATCCCCGGTGAAATGGGTGTGGCGAGAACACATCCGGGAATTTGGACTGAACTTGGCTAGATGTGAACTTTGAACTGGAACAGTACTTGGGCTGTGACTAATGACGTGTCACAAGTCCACAAGAACACAAGTCGGCACAAGAACGCATATTGATAAACGCCTCAAGTGACACTCCTGAGGAAGGCGGAGGTTTCCGCCGAAACATGTCAAGGTATGTAACATCCTAACATGTCTGAGATAAAAGAACAACTAGTCATTATCAGAAACTAAAGACATAATGAACACCATTGAACTATTACACAAAACATTTGGTCATATGTAAACATGATGATATATTACAGATTAAACTACCAACTAGTAAATAGTTTTTGTTTCATTTTTTCCCTGTAAGCCCTACAGCTGAGCTATAAATACATATAATTGTGCACTGAATAATACAGTAGCTACAATAAATGGCAACAAGAGGGGGCAATTTTCTGCACATTATTATTATTTTTTTTAAACCTGTAATACTTTACATTTTGATGATAGTAGCCTACTTCTGTAGCAGGGCTGCCAACTTGAAAAAAGAACCTTGGAGTGAGATTTGGTGGGGGATTGGTATGTTTTCCCCTGCATTCTGGTGGTTTGTGGATTAATAACTCTACTGTCAGTTACAATGTGCCTTTTTTTGTAGAGCACAAATTTCTTGTAGAATTTTAAATTCTTTGGAATACATCTTACCCGTTCTCAGTGCTGTTGGCCATGCAGAAAAAGTCTTGATCCACAGTGCTTATCTTTCGCCTGTTAATAGGTTGATATCACAGGTGATTATGTTTTAGTTCCCCATTTATTTCCTTAATATGGCGATTAAAATTATATACATACAACAAGAGTGTGAGTTGAAAGGGCCAAGTTTGTTTTTTTGTTTTGTTTTGTTTTTTGTTGTTGAAAATATTACTTCAGAGAGAGTTTTCATGTAGGGCTCATTGTGGAGTGTTAATACAGAGTGGTGTTGCTCCTTTCACTCAATAAAGAAGCCAATTTCTTTGCTGACAAGAACTAAGTTTTGCGTTGGATACTACCCAGTTTAATGAGAGTTTAGACATGACGTGGCTGAGCAAAAGAGAGTCTATGTATGACAAACATCATATGGAAAATGTAAGAAATTGGGTGACAGAATGATAAACAGGTAAGCAGGTTTATTTAGGCTGGTGCTTTAAATATGAGAAACTTAAATACTGAAAGCCAACTTAACAAACACTGTGGGGAAAAACACACGACACCATGGTATGCTACCTGCCCGGTAACTTTACATTTCTCGGTAGATGTTTGCGCCTCTCATGTTAAATGTAGACAAAAGTTAAAAGTAGTTACCTCTTTGGTTGATCAGGCGTTGGCTGCTGATTTTTTTCCATAATCTTCCAACTGATGGACACTCTGGAGATTGTTCTGCTCTTCTCTGGACTGTGTGTGGCAGTGATACACCTGAATTTAATCTCTTATATGTCTTCACTCTGTATGAAACTCCGGTGATGGTGGGATGTATCAGATCCGTCAAATCAGCTGAAGCCTGCACTGTCCAATCAATAACTCATATCCAATCAGAGGGTGTGTCGGTTGGTAAAAGACGTTTGTGATGATCAGCTGCCAGGAGGCTTTATTAACAGCTATGGAAAGTTTTAATGGAGTTTGTGTCTGCACACACATAATGTTATATGTAAATATATAATGATACAGATACAGACAGGCCTACAGTTATCAGTAACAGAGCAGCAGTGTTTTCTCTCTGTCTAACAATCACCTGCACATGAACAACAACCTGCTTTCTGTAGCCTATTTATAATCTGTCCTGCTCAGAGTCACACTATGTGTTTATGATTTATTCCGTATTATTACTATTATTATTATTATCATTGTTTGTGAGTTCATTATTTAATAACCCAGAATACGATCACGATGTCTTTGAACACTGGAAATAATTTATTAGGCCAAATGTCGATTACCGGGTCAAGTGATCAAGAATAGAGGACAGAGGAGTCAAGGAGGGATATTGGGATGAACCCACAGAGGCGGGCTGTTCTTCTTTCTCAGTTTTATAGACGGTTGGTACATTAGCGCCATCTACTGACTAACTACAGTATGAATCAGAGACAGCTTGCTCTCATAAGCCCCTTTTACACTGCCAGATTTTCCGTGAATGTTGGGCCATTTTGCCTGCAAGCTGCGAGCGTTTAGACACACAGAGCCGGATTGGCGAGTGGATCCGATATGGAGATAGATTTGTTTCATAATTATGTGTGTGAACAGATCGACAATCTGTGTGTAAATGTGTAATCTGTAAATATAAAACACCTTCCACAATACAAAAAAAGATTTGTAAACTCACAAAAATATTTTGCATGTATAAAACGGATCTGCAAATACAAACACAAACACATTCCACAAATAAATAAAGAATAAAAAAAGCCTAGCCTAGTGGGCAGCTGGCTCGCGGGCTCGCGGGCTGCCTGCTAGGCTAAAACATCACTTCATGTTAAAGTGGGAAGAAGCAGCGGGTTTATCGGGCAGCTGAGTGAAGCTGGGTGAAGTGGAGGCTGCTGAGGAAACACTGGGATGGGTTAATGTCCGGAGCTTGAGCAGCCCGCGAGCCCGCCAGGCTGCCCGCTAGGCTAAAACATTGCTCTCACTCATGGAGAAGAGTAGGAACGTTAGCGTTAGCTCCCTGTGTTAGCTGGGATCTGGCGATGGCTCTAGCCGAGTTGGCTAGAGCCCGCCAGGCTGCCAGCCTGGCTCACGGGCTGCTCAAGCTCCGGACATTAACTCACCCCGGTGTTTCGTCCGCAGCCTCCACTTCACCCAGCTTCACTCAGCTGCCCGATAAACCCGCTGCTTCTTCCCACTTTAACCTGAAGCGATGTTTTACAAATATATTACAAAAATGTAGCCTTGCTGCCCGTGAGGCTACATTTTACAATGCTAATTGAAAATGTTAGCTGGGCTGCCGGGCTAACTTACTCACCTAACACAACCGTAACACCTGACCCACTGCTGGGACCGAGCCGCTAATAACTCAAGCTCCAGACATTAACCCATCCCGGTGTTTCCTCTGCAGCCTCCACTTCACCCAGCTTCACTCAGCTGCCCAATAAACCCGCTGCTTCTTCCCACATTAACCTGAATAACAAACCAGGGCTCGGTGCTCCGGTTGGATCCAAACAGAAAGCCGGGGCTAGTTGGGAAGCTAGCGGAGGCTAACTGGCTGTGCTTCCCTCCGGTCATGCTGCGGCTAACGCCTTGCCAGCCAATCCCAGCTAGTTCCAGATTGTTATTGAGGTTAAAATGGGAGAGGCAGCCGATCTGTGGGGCAGCTGAGTGAAGTGGAGCCTGAGGAGGAAGCACCGGTTAGCCCCGGTTTCGTTCCACTCTCTGCCATTTCGCTTCGAAAATATGCGCTGCCATTGCTCACTGGCTGTAGCCTTTTATAGGGAGGGAGGGCCAAGGGCTCCAAGAGGGGGTGGGGTGGGGATTCACATGAACGTACATGAACGTGCAGCCGGACCGGCTTGTAAACAATGGGCTGGACTTGCAACCCACTTTTGGACCACGACCCACCAGTTGGGAACCGCTGCTTTAGACCACATGCTACAGATAGCTTGAATAGGGCCCTGAGTGTGTGTGTGTCCAGGAGGTCCCAAGGTCTAGTTGTGAACTGAGTGTTTTTGTCAGAAAGTCAGAATCTACGGATACCTCGACTTTGAGGAGAAAACCAGAAATGGAAATGGTTTTCAATCAGTTTACAAAACTGATCCTCAGTAGGCCGACACATTGCCGAATATCTGTTTGGGAACAAGAAACATATTTACTTTAGTTGTTTGTTTTTTTTATCTCAGACATGTATCAGGATGTTACATACCTTGACATGTTTCGGTGAAAACTTTCTCAGAAGCGTCACTTGGTGGTGGTTGTGACGTGTCTTTATCAGCTGATCTGTCAGTCAGCTGATATTAGGGAGGCGTGACCATCCTGTCAGTTTTGACATCATTTTCTCACCTTTGTGACATTGAGAGACCCCGGAAGTTGATTCAGTTGACAGTAGCATTTTTGGTCTGGTGTACACAGCTGACAACACACCTAGGCAGGCTCTGCAAAGGCACAAGTCACATTGTAAACTACATAATGCTGCTCTTATTTTCTCAATAAATGCACTTTCTGGCATGGAGAGTGGCACCACAGTCTTCTTTATCAGTAAAGATAGATTGATAATCCTGCTGTTGAGGAAAGGAGAAAACCAGAAATGGTTCCCTTTTCAAGACTTTTTTATCAGTTTACAAAACTCAGACGAGTCACTAAAAACAGAGCTTTTTATTATTTCTTTTTAATTTTTAGAAATGATGTAATGCCAGCCAGAAGCAGGCTAATCATAGAGTGACAAAGAACTGAACACCAAAATCTTTCTTTCTCCCCAAATCTACTCAAAATTCATCAGGTTGTCATTTGTGCTCCAATACTTCCATCTAGTGGGCACTTAGGCGAACACACCACTTTAAATGAAAGTGTCAAATATGATCTTGCAAACAAGCTACATTTTTTCTTAGCCTACAAATAATAAAAACAGTTTTAAAAAATCAGATTTTTAATAATGTCACCATAAACAATAAGTTCCTCAGCCCAGTTTAATATGTCTTAACAATTCATACAGGTAAACTGAGTGGGTAGTTGTTTTCTGTCTTGCAACAATTGTATATAAGGATTCCCCTCAGAAACTGATGAAGTGCTGACACTGTTTATTTTTAACTCATTAAAACCTAAAAAATCCAACTTATAAATACAAAAGCAGAACTATACAGTATGTTTTGATCCCATTTGTGTTCCATATCGTTAAGCCTTAGTGGGGATATTGGGATTGGGCCTCCTCTCAAAATAAGGGACTGTTCTTTACTTAACCTGCTACAGGGTTAGCTGGAGTGCAGCTTTGTTTTATTTTATTTTATTAATGTATTTTGACCATCCTCAAAATATTTTCCTTGAGCTTCCCTAAGTGACTGGTGAAAAATGCATGACCCTCCCTCCACCATTCCTTGAAAGTTAAAAGTTAAAGACAAAATCCAAGAATTGAAAAAAAAAAAAGAAAAAAAAAAAGCCTTAGTTCTTCGCTCTCGTCCTGCATGCTCACAAAACTCTAAATGAGACATAGAATAAAGTGATTGTGATGAAATATCACAATTTTAAGCTCAGATTTGGTAATTGTTTTTCTTTTTCCTGACAGAAGCGTTTGGTAGTATGTGATGTGTCTACGGACCATCAAAAAATTGAAAATCCAGCCTTAATTTCTGTTTCTACAGTTTCTGGCGAAGATAAATGGTGTCATTTTGGTGACTGGTGATTTGATTTGGTGATTTTAAAAAAAGACATGCCTTTGAATGTCATGTTTTGTTTGAAAATCTGCGGTAAGATGAATACATAATACAAGCATTTATATTTGTGTGACCCTCCTCTAAGCCAAAATAAAAAAAAAAACCTAAGTTCCTAACCAGTACTTTAAATATGGGAGCGTTGGTAGCATAGTGGATAGTGCCGGCGCCCCATGTACAGAGGCGATGCCTTGCTGCAGTGGTCGCAGGTTTGACTCCAGCCTGCAACCATTTCTGCATGTCACCCCCCACTCTCTCTCTCTCCCCCTTTCAGTCTGTCCTATACAATAAAGGCAAAAAAGCCCAAAAAATAATCTTAAATATGATTTGACACATCTCCCCTTTTTGCACCACCCCCTCCCCCCCTCAGTAATTACGAACAGTCCCTTAGCACACTGGTCATTATTATTATTATTACTATTATCACAGTAAAGGAGGGGTGCCAGAGAATAGGGGGTATTTTATTCCTGAGTAGGCCTGCCAGGCAGTCTGAAACTACTTTCTCACAGTAACTAACATACTCCACTCCACTACTGTTAGAAGTTAAGGTTAGACTTAGTAATGCCATGGTTGTGACTGGAGGTTTCGTCCTAGTTAATGAATCAGATCATAGAAATAAAATGAGAGTCAAAACCTTGATTTACATAAATTTAGAACCAACTGGGCAGGGTTAAAGCTGAGCTGCCACCACCTTAAACCGGTTTGGCCCGATGTCAGAGACCTGAGAAAACACACACACACACACTACCATGATGTATGAGGAAATATGAGTACTTTATTGATGAATTCATAACGCTGCAGCAGCTTCTTTGTGCAAAGGGTCTAAAATGGGCCCAACTTTAACCCATCCCCCTGCAACAAATCCACCCCACCAGCTAACCAGCAGCCTTCAACACCACAGCACACCAAGTCACTTCAAATAAGGAGACAAACCATGACTCTCAATCAAGCGGGCCCACGCATGAAACACCACAGCAGGTTAAGTACTCAAAACCCCATGCAGAGTTTCACTTTGAATAGGCCATGTGATCAGACTGGGTGGGACTTGTTACTCTGACTACCAGCTAACCT